TAAAGGCCCCTGGTGTATTTTTCCCCAATATTAGTCATTAAAGCAACAAAAAATGATTTATGCTTTATAAACTTCAGAAGCGTGTTATGCATATGGTGAATAATTGGAGAATGACGATTATAATAAATAATAATGTCAAATGTACCAGCCTATTGTGGCGAAATTGAACCGATTTAGAAAAGGTTCAGAACTTAATTTACATGAGATAAATGAGCTGATAGATCTGGAAATAGATCTGGAAATGTCAGCAGGTTTAATCGTGCTCCTGATCCAAATCGATGGCATTTATACATTTTTAAGTGTGGCGTAAACACTTTTAGGGGTCACAGTATTAAAGTACTGCCACATTTATTTCTTTTTTTGAGGGCATGTATCACAAGGCTAGTTGTTTGACCTGACCAGCTCTTCAAGAATGTCCCAATGTCTTTAAAAAGTATTATTAGTCACACCACATTCATATGCACTGAACTACCGAAACTCCATCTTGAAATCATATCCACCACCGGCTGTGGAACTGAGTAATAATATATTAGCAATTGAAATTCATAGATCTTGTGTGTGCACTTTTTCCACTTTCCAGAGAGCTGAAAGTGTTGCCTAATACTGTATGATTGGGAATAGATGCAATGATTGACAGATCAGGAGTAGAACGGCAGAAGAATCGCCCTACATTCACTTCTGCCGGACAGAGAGAATCAAACATCACTCAGAGTGAAGGTAAAAAATTCATTACAGAGTTAGACAATGATGAATCCAAAACAATAAAAATGCATTCATCGTCAATTTTGCTTCTCCTCACCAAGAGCTCTTTCACACCATTGCCAGAAATGCATTATTATGATCAAAAGACATTTTGTGCTCTTCGCTTGTTGGTCAAAAATTATTATTTTTTTTAATTAATTTTTTTTATTTCAATGAAATTAAAGTTGGCTACTATATTTTAGTTTGATAATGTTTCTTTATTTATTATTTTGTATTTTTAGAGGATTTATCCATTTGTAAATACAATCCATTTTTTAACACAATCTAAATTGTATTCAAAATCCATTTATTAATTTTTGGAGCATAGACCTTAAACTTTAATTTCAGTTCAAACTCAAACTGTTGTAAACGCTAGAGCACAGACTTGTTTGATCACTTTTCAAAAGACAACACTTGGCAAAATATTAAAAAAAGTTTTTAAAAATGAAAAGTTACAGAATTTTACGATTAGTAAGGAATAATTGACGACAGGTCATTGAATTATTAGAAAAATAATGTTTGGGCATGATCAGTCATAAGTATCAAATTACATTCATATCTGGCCTTAGTAGGCCTAAGTGTGTCCCGGCTTAGTTATTAATGCAGTTATTAGAGAGAGATGTTGAAATAATGAGACAGAAAAGCCTCTGCGTCAATATTATTATTTATTTATTAATTAAAACTGTTTTAATTAATTAGTTCATTCTTGTTTTCTATAATTGACAGTAGATAACCCAATAAATGAAACACAAAGCCCTTTTAAGTAGGCCTATCAATATTTTTTGTTGTTGTTATATTATCTGGAATAATTACGAAAATCCGTGCAGCAGGACTATTCATTTATTTATATAGCTTATTCAGTTTAATTTTCTATTTAGCATATTATAGATAGGACTATACTTTATTTATTCAAATTAAACTGTATGTGTCCACTGATTGTGAAGTTAGACATCGAAAATTGCAGATCAAGCGCATGGGTCTGCATGTTTTTTTTCTTGTTATGAATTGTATCCTATTTTTCGTTATTACGCAGTGATATGGAACTGTAATGCGGTCAAACCTGCCTGAAACTACTTTATCTGTGCGTTTCCCTGAAAATAATTGCACACCTTTAGAACGTTCTCAACCAATCAGAATCAAGCATTCAACAGCCCTGTAGTATAATTGTTATTAAAAAAATGCAAAAAAAATCTAAACAAGTCGTGATCAATATTTGAGCTGTTCCATTAAGATTTTGCTTGGCCGCAGTACCAAAAGCTTTCACTAAATGAAATTTGTCTCCCATTCATTACCAATGCGGTCATTTTTGACCGTGAGGAGCACAAGCGTGACAATTTTTTTCAGGACCATTTAACCTTTTCAAATGATATCCAAGATTTTGTGTGTGTGTGTGTGTGTGTGTGTGTGTGTTTACCTTTATCAGTTGTTGTACCATTCCGATCAAGTAAAAAGCACCAGAGGGTTAAAATGGTCATTTCACATTCTAGGCACATACATACTGCACACTATTTCACTCCAACTCATAGCCATTGTTCTGTTACAGATATGGATTGCTTTGTTCAGCATATATAAAACCATATGTTCTTTTTTGTCCTTTGTCTTTTTGTTCATCTCTCTCTCTCTCTCTCTCTCTCTCTCTCTCTCTCTCTCTCTCATTTCATTCTAAGTGGTTTGTATCTGTGCATTTGTTCCCCTTTTCCTGAACATCTGCTTGTGTGTTTTGATTATGATATTGGATTACCTTCATTACTGGGATGGATTCTAATTCCAGTAACTGTATGTGTGATTTGGACTAAAACACTGTACTCGGATCCTTCAGATTGATTACATCTTGTGTTGTTTCACGCACGTACATTGAAAAAGAATGGGCCAGTGAGCGAGAGAAACCGAGAAAAACCCTGAATAATTATGAGCCCCAGAGAAATGCTTGACCTTTGATTCAGAACACACCAAATACTCAGGATATAATTAGGAGATAAAAAAAATTCAGTGCAAAAACCATGTCATTCTAATCCCAAATGCCTATCATAAATTATTCTCTCTTAATGATAAAAAAAAATCTGATTATGCTGCAAATCACACAAATACTATTTTAAATTACATAAAATAAAGATATATTCTAAAGATATAAAATATAAATATACAATATTCATACTCATTTGCTTATGTCAGATACATTATTTAATCTCTTTAGTATTTTACATATTTTACAGTAGTTAGATGCATATTTATTTCTCCGGAAGGTACAACATTCCACCTGTATTAACTAAACTTAAGGGTATTTTTTTTTTTTACATATCAGCTATAATAAGATGGAGAAGACCCTTATTTACTCACTCGCAGTCCACAGATGTAATATTTAGTGGAGTTTTACAGAACATTTCCATCACAGTTTGAAAAATAATATTGCATATTTTATTCTGATTGTGTACTCAGCCGGTGTGTCTCGTGCACAGCCCTTAAAACATATATCACTATTATAAATGATAGTACTTTCACATTTCATAAAGATTTCTTTTAGAAAAAAATGATAAGTGCATAATTTTGGTACCCTAGGCCACATTTACTTATATGACTGGAAAAATCCAATGATCATTTTTCAAAGGATTGCAACTATTTTGGATCCTTAATTAGAGAGAAAATATTAAACATGGTCTTCTTGAAGTATTAACAAAAATAAAAATAATAATAGGGTAAATTCACTGTCACTGAATTGTATTCAGGCTAATCGGTCAACCCGGTCTCATCCCAAGACGTCATATAACTGACGTTTTGGGACGTCTTTTGACCATACGTCAATATTCGCCTTTTTAGGGCCCCCTTAAACGTCGGTAGATGAGGTTATGTGATCCTAACTCTACCCCAGACCTAAACCTAACCCTAAACCTAACCCGTCACCTAACTGACGTTAAAGGTAAAGCGTCAGTTGTATGACGGCCCGGGATCGCCATCTACCGACGTTTAAGGGGGCCGTAAAAAGGCGGATATTGACGTATGGTCAAAATACGTCCCAAAACGTCAGTTATATGACTTTTTGGGATGAGACTGTGTTAAATCGGTTCAAAACAAAAATGGAAACTCGTACTGTACAACAAAAATAAAGGGCCCTTGTCCATAGAGTGCAAAACTCGGGTTCTGGAAGTCATCAGCCTGCATTATTTCAACTTAGATTTAAAATAATCATGACTCGTTTAACGCCAGAATTTGAGGTAAACAAAAACTACTTTACCCATGATGCTGCACTGTAAATTACACCAATCAAGGTCAGGGAGTCGAAAGAAGCAAAAAGAGCTCTTTAGCTCCACCCACTCCAATGAAGGACAGCGAATGACGTGATCGAGTCGATCTCCCAACGTTGAGTCAGGAGTGAAGCAGAGAGAATCCAAGTGCAAGCATTAATTTAACAAACAAACAAACAGGTAATCCAGGGCAAAACAACAGAACATGAACTCAGGACAAACGCAAATGATACAAACAACAACTCACAGAGGTTTAAATAGACTCTAAAAAATGCTGGGTTGTTTTAACCCAATTTTGGGTCAAATGTGGACAAACCCAGCTATTGGGTTACATTTTTAAATTACATTTTTACCCCAATGTTTGAGTTGGTCCATATTTGACCCAAAATTGGGTTAAAACAACCCAGCATTTTTTAGAGTGTACACAGACAAACAAGCTAAACAAGATAACAAGGGGTGGGGCTAATTAGAAATGCCTGGAGAGACTAATAACCAAGAAAAACTACAAAGGACTACAAAACATGGCATAAAGCAGGAAATAACTAAAGTCCATACAAGACAAGGAAGGAGAACACAAGACAGGAATCGTGACACACACATATATAGTGGCTTACCATGAGGTTTCAGTCAGGGCCTCCAGTAACAATCTCAAGGGATGGGCACTAATGCACTCTATTGTCAATAGTATATTGATGTATAAAGCACATTCAAACCATGCAGCTTTCTGTTGGTCAATACAGCAAATTTGTTACAAACTTGAACTAGATTTGAAATCCGAGGAAATATCTGCACTCAAGCTAAATTTCCGATCGATCCCATTCTGATTGAGACTTTATTTCGTCTGCAATAAATGTGACCGCAACTTAAGCGTCAGCAACACTCGTGCAAACTTAATTAAATGCCACAATTGAGTGTGACGTAAGAGTGGTTTTACAAATGATTTACATTTGCTATTGCTAGTGTTTCATGAATGAGGCCAATGAAGCACATGAGAGGCTCTACCAACACAGTTGATTCCTATTGAGTTTTAGATTAGAGTAACTTTATTGTCCATTCTGTTTGTCACAAGGCAGAAATGTCTTTGTCATACATAAATACATCTACAGAAGTACTTTACAATACAAACACAGAATTAAACCACAAGATATTTCCAAACATCTGATTGAAATATACTTTGTGTTTATAATTGTATAATACTTTAAAATTGACATTACCATTTAAAAAAACATTTTAATAACAATCTATTCTGAGATGACCTTATATGTGAATGATGCATGCTGCTCTGCTTACTATTTTTGGAATAGCATTGGGGGAGAGCTTATAAATGTTGCAGATCAGGTTTTGGAACAGAGCAAATGCCTTTGTTTCTCTTTTAATTTGAAGGCCACCACTGAATGAGAGATCTGGAAAAGATGGTCCACAAGAGACTGTGTTCTGAAAAAGAAAGAAAAGACAACAAATGGATGACACATCTCAGACAAAGCTATAATATCAGTAGCTGGGCACAGAACTGTTATGTTTGCTATGCTAACAAGACATTTGAAATGTGTTTTTAAGTCTGATATACATTTGCTTTGCATTATTTTGATGTTTGAACAAGTTTGTTTCATCCATCCCTCCATCGCCTCTTTAGGCAAATACCTCCTATATACACTATTTCAAAATACCCATCCCTCCCTCCCTACCTCCATCCATCCCAAATAGCTCATATATAGACTGCCATTCAAAAGTTTGTGGTCAGTTATTTATTTTTTTAACATCATTTTGAAACTTTATGCTCACGCCTGCATTTATTTTATAAATACAGTAAAAAAGAAATCAATTTTATAAATTACTTTCTTATTACAATTTAAAATAATCATTTAATTTATATTTATGATGGTAGAGCTGTATTTTCAGCATCATTAACGTTCAGTGTCATATGACCCTTCAGAAATCATTCTAATATGATGATTTCTGATCAGTGTTAAACACATTGCTGCTTAATATTTTTGTGGAAACTTTAACAAATAGAACGTTCAAAGAACAGCATTTATTTAAAACGCATCTTTTTTTACATTATGTCTTTCCTGTAACATTTGACCAATTTAATGCATCCTCGCTGAAAAAAAGTATTAATTTCTTTCTTTCAAAAAAAATAAATAAAATACAGACCCCAACGTTTAGAACGGTGGTGTAAACACACATAAATGGGTCCTCCCAGGAGTACTTACAAACAAACATTCGAATGCACATGCCGCACATGGCGACCACGCTGGCGATGTTGAGAGCTCGGCCGCACTCTGGACTCATCAGGCAGTTTTTGGTGCTTATGCAACACCTGCAGCAAGCACCCCGAGTCTTATCAGGAGAGCTCTGGTTAGTGTTGCTCGTGTGCTGCTGAGTAATAACTTCTTCATAGGACGGTGGTGGTCTCTTGTAATCTTCCTCCATGGCTCTCCTGGATCAAGCCTGAAGGGGGATGAGAGAGTGAATTACGCTGGGACTAAGAGATGCGGAGAATCAATCGATTGTAATTACGTTCCAGTATCCGAGAGCATAGTTTCTTTGTCATTAACTGATATGGAAATAAATCGATGCTCTATGGATCTCGTGAGCTTTATCTGAATGCTGTTGACACTTTGCTCGACGGAAAATTCCTAAGTTGGAAAGATGTTTTGAACCTTATTAGATTCGAACGTGACGGTGCTTGCCTGTTTTTACGTTCGGTGATTACCCTACGGTGGCCGAGAGAGCTCAATACACTGCAAATGAAGAAAACACATGCAAATAAGAAGAAAACAACGCAAATTAAGAAAACATCTTCGTTTTACAACAAACGCGAATACTCACAACCAAATACAGAAACGCGCTTCAAAAGTTAATAGTACAACCAAACAGAAACACAGCTCTGAACACAATGGAAATGTTTCTAGGGAACCCCAATAAGAGATGAACCTGGCTAGGACATTATATATTGCGATATTGCTCAATGACTAGCTACTTTTATTTTATTTTTGAATTTATTTTTTTATCGCTAAACATATACAGAGTCGACATATGCCATAAAACTTTTTATACAATATACAAAATGTATTAACACTATGTTCAATGCACTGGGGTTGCCACACGGGTGCTAAAAATAAGCAAAATTCATTTTTAAAGTCTTAATAAAAATGTTTTTTCTAAACTCTGGCTATTGCTGTTTACTTACGATATTTGTTTATTTAAAATGGAATTTATTTTTTAAATTATCATCGTTAAAAAAATATGTCGACATCTGGACTGCCAACCAATCCGCAAACAACCGCTGACTGTCGGTAACAAGCGTAACAAGGTTAAAAAAAAAAAAAAGACACAATATTGACTCTTTTTGTTCTATTTCAGCAACGAAAATATTTCCAAACAAAGATCATAGTAACAGAATGCATATCAAATTAAAACTCATTTCCTGAACGAATCAGCCATTTAAATGAGTCGTTTGAATAAATGGCTCAATGACTCACTCATTCGGTTGCCTGTCGACCGCTACTGGTGGTTTAGTTTCATGTTTAAAAGTATCATTATTTCAAATAGACTATTTCCTATTTGTTGTAGCCTATATTCAAACAATCTCATAACATTAGCTATTAAATGCAGTTGTAATTTTTTAGGCCCATTTAATTTGATTGGCAACAGCCTTATAGCTGTCTTATTATTCTAATTTAATTTATTGATAAAACGTAAGAATTTAAAATGAAAACGATTATGGAAAAAATGCCCTTTATAAAAGGTTAAAATATAAATATGCAGATTTAAATATGTCAAAGCTGGCTGCTCACTGATGAGAATATGGCTTCAGAATAAATTATTTTTACAACACAAATAAAATCCTATGTTTTTTTCTGGACAAGCAATTTTGGACAAGTGAATTAAAGGGATAGTTCACTTTGAAATTAATTTTTGATATGTTTTAGCTTACAGTACCTCAAGGGCATCCAAGATGTAGTAGGTGTCTTTGTTTCCACAGTATTTTCAATTTTGACATTTTTTGGTCAAAAACATATTTAGATATACTGGAGATTGCAATGGAAGACGATTTCAATACATCTAAATATGTTAGTGAAAGGTAAAACTTCCGAAATCTCCGTGTAAACAATGCGTGACGTAGACGCGCGAGAGATCACTTCCGGCGTAAGGTCTGGAGACGGTTCAGTTCAGTTCAGTTGGACATCTGATTCAGATCACTTCGACGGCTGTTAACAAGAGGTAAAAACGATATAAATACTGTTCGTTTTCTCACACAAACCGCGCGTTTCGTGTCTTAGGCCATCAGTGTGTATTTACATTCACGAGTCATTAAATCATGTTTAATTTGGACTTCTCTGTGCATGCTCTTTGAGGTGAACCGAGGGAGGATCCCTTTAACCTCCAGTGTATGACTGACAGACAACAACGGTTTGACCAAAAAATGTCAAAATTGAAAATGCTGTGGAACAAAGACACCTACATCTTGGATGCCCTTGAGGTAAGCTAAAACATATCAAAAATTAATTTCAAAGTGAGCTATCCCTGGCTTTAACGATTTACTTGTTCGCAGGACAAGCGCATGAGAAGGCTTATTGTCGAGCCCTGGGTTGGCTTTATTGTATATAGTCTAGTATTATGGATATATGCCGAGCCTGGGTATAGTTTTACAGAGCCCAGTCTATTCTGTAAAGTTATCATGATATGCAGAGTCAGGGTTGTTTTGCACATTAATCTGACAATAAATGTGGCACACACAGTTTTTCTTATGCACACTGTAGGATTACAAATGTATCAGCATGTTTAATTAGGTTCCAAAACAATAGAATATGAACTGAGAATGTTATTGTAGGCTACATTGTGTTTTACATTTTAAGGTTATGACGATGATGACGACATCTCCTGTTAAGCATGAGAATCTTGCCAGTCCTGGTCTCTCCATTGAAAGGTAAATGAGTCAGAATACTGAGACTCCCACACCCTTTGTCTCTACGATAATGTTAAGGTTTGAGCAATCTAGTCAGGCTGATTGGATTAACAGCTCAAAGCTCGTCTTAATATCTGCTATGCTTTGTTTGAGAGTGTCTACAACTCTATATAACTCCTCCCCCTTGTGACGTATGTGAACACAAGACATTTTGCTTGTAGTTAGACTTGGCTACGATTTTCGGACGAAGCAGACTACAGCGATGCAACAGCAATAAAGAAACATTTCTGTTGTGGTCTGTGCTATTTGCCGCGTGTTTCTGTGTTTGGTTTTGTTGTGAGTATTTGGAGCACACGTGTTGTTAAACTGATGAAGATGTTTTCTTCATTTGCATGTGTTTTCTTCAGATGCAGCGCATAGAGTTCTCTCAATCACAGAGATTACTTAAAGCTACACTGTGTAAAGGCCATTGCATACTGAGTACGAAATTTTCGTATGCGTATTTTCGTGTTCGTTAGCCTAAAAATTCGTCACGCATAGAAACCTTGCACACCGAGTCCGTTGCGTATTTATTAAACCTTTGCGGGAAAAAACGCAAAAATACCAAATGGATTCGTCAAGCAGTGAGGATGATTTTTGCCCTCTCTCTTATTGAAAAGAGAAGAAAGAGAAAATATTACGTCCATCCAATCCTGAAATTGCGCCGAGAGGAAGGAGAGTTCCTTATCAAGGAGTTGCGAATTTATCCTGAGCGATTCAAAATTTACCTCAGAATGTCAGTGGGACAGTTTGATGCTTTGCTAGCGATTCTGGAGCCACATATTAAAAACAAGACCACCAATTTCCGTGAACCAATCGATTCTGAACGGAGACTGGCTGTGTGTCTGTATGGACCAGGAATGGACACACACACAAACACACACACACACACACACACACACACACCCGCGCACGGCCTGGTGGAAGCGCTGGGCAGACAGAACAGCTAGGCTGTTATTGTGTATTGTGCCCAAATAATACATTAGTTATCGAATAGGCTGCTAAATCACACCTTATTCGATCCTAAATTTCAATCTGATTGAAAGGGGAGGTTTATTAATTTCATAATCCAATATAGAGAAGAGAACAAACACTTGATCGAATTGAAAACCGAAACTGAAAGCACGGCGCATATGTGCAATGATTTGAGGACGAGCTCCCCCCGGCCCTGAATTGTCAAAAGACCTCTAAAAATGCTGGCTCTGGATGCGAAAAACGCAGAAAATCGAACCCGATCCGATTAATTTTATGACAGACGAAAGTTTCGGAGGCGGTGTGCAAGCGTGACTGACATAACGTGAGGTCGAATTTTTTTTTTTAACGTGCGAAAATTTCGCATGCGAATTTCGGACTCAGTGTGCAATGGCCTTAACTCTTTTAGTTTATTCTTAGCTAAAAACACTTAGTTCATTCAAAAATATATGTGGTCATTAATGTACATTTACTTCATTCAAGTAATAAAGTATTCTCGTGAGTGTATAATATGCCATTGAAAATACATACGGGTAAGAGGTTCTAATGTCGGTCGCCATGTTGCCCCTCCATCTTGAAAGTACATTAGCCAAAGAGGGACATACCTGTTAATTCAAGCTTCGCCTTTCGCGTTTACGTTTGAGTTAACACTCATGGACGAGGTCGAACTGGAAGCCATGTTAATCTTGGACTACATTTGCCATCGTAGGAGTTAAAACGAAATCGGAATTGAGAGGAACAGACACTAATATTCACTGGATGGTCATATACCTTTTCACCGCTAGATGGGGGTAAAAATCACACAGTGTAGCTTTAAAGGAGCCGTATGCAAGATTGTGGCCAAAACTGGTACTGCAATCACTTTAAATTACTGTAGAGCGGTGTATCCCCCATATCCCCCTCTGTGAATCGAGTTTTTTTTTTTTTTTTGGTTTCGCAACGTTAGACATTATTTTATCCGATTCAAACATGTTTGTAGCTGCAGCTGTGGTGACTAGAGAAGAGCTGGCAACCCAAATGCCTCAACACTACTGACTCCGTGATTGGTAGATCGGTGGAGGGTGACGCATCAGAACAAAACACAACTTGACAACATCAACATCACTTGAGGGCTGCAACTTCACTCACAAATGACAATATCCTGGCTGGACTACTGTTGTCAGTGATATAAGTATTTGAAATGAACATGATTTCTTAAGGTCTAGTGACATATCAGAAAAAAATTGTGATTAATTTAAATGGGAACAATGAGTGACATAGTTGTGAAATGAATGTGCCCTGCCGCTCAAGGGCAAAATTCCAGCACAATCATTGAATAATGCGTTCCTAGTCATCTGTTTTTCTTTCACAGACTCAAAGCTTAGAGCTTCTTAAGATGTAGAACGGATGACACTTTTATTACACCAAACTTTTCCACACACACACACAAAATCAGTTCCAATCAAATAATTTACCCGGACTAGGCTTCTCCTTCAGTCCCACTTCTGGGTTTATTTCTTCATGAAATGGAGAAGAAATTAAAATCCTCAATCACTGCACTGCCACAAAAAGAGAAAAGAGCATGGAAAAGACTTCTCAGATGATCTTGTTTACCCCCTTTGTTCCTGCTGTCCTCTTTTCGCCTTTGAAAAATTAAGCTAAAAGGTTCATTTTAAAAAGTTAATTCGAATTTACCTTCGTTGTCTTGCTTGTGATGTGACAGGGCTGGTCTGATGTACACCTGGGTGGATTCTTACATATAAACACTGCGCCTCTGTGACGGCGTGTTCCACAGGGCGTGCAAATCAAGTTTTTCCTGCCTGTCCTTTGAGAGACGCCTTTTAAAGTTTTGGCTTCCAGATTTTTTGTTTTCACTCTTGAATAGTTTTACTTCTTAATCCCTTCTGTTATTTTTCCCTTGATGAACAGAAAGTTTAAATAATCTTTAGTTAATTCTGATGTTTGAATCTGAGAGGCCTTCCAATAGCTCTACTGTTTTCCTTGCCTGTCACCTGAGAGTCAGTCATTTGGTTTTTTTTTGTTTGTTTGTTTGTTTGTTTGTTTTTTGCATGAATGCACACGTGTTTTCACTTTTGAATAGATCCTAGATACATTTCACAAGTATTTTCACTTTTGAATAGATCCTATAGATACATTTCACAGATGACACTTTGATAATTCACAGAATCAGCTGTTTTTTTTTTTGTTTTTGTTTTTTTGCATGAATGCACAAGTATTTTCACTTTTGAATAGATCCCATAGATACATTTCACAGATGACACTTTGATAATTCACAGAATCAGCTGTTTTTTTTTTTTTTTTTTTTTTGCATGAATGCACAAGTATTTTCACTTTTGAATAGATCCTATAGATACATTTCACAGATGACACTTTGATAATTCACAGAATCAGCTGTATTTTCTTTTTTAGGCAACAATATAGAGTTTTCATTGTGCAATACAAATAGTGCCCATCATGGGCTACAAATTCACTGTAGAAAAAACAACAACAACATTTCCTTCATAGTTTTCAGTCCCTTGCTGTACAAAAAATGGCATCATAAAGTAGGAAAAAAGTCTTCGTCCAACCCATCAGCTTCCATTACGCACATCAGGTGATCTAAACCAGTTGGCCTCCTTGAGAACCTGCAGGGCAAGAAATAATAATGAAAAAAATAATAATAATAACATGACTTATTATAACACACTTATTTTAAATCACACACACACACACACACACACTGGTCCATGCAAAACACATTGGAATATCTAAAGGGAATATCTAAGAGGAGGCCTGCTTATTATCAAAATAATATACTTTAAAGCTGAATGCAACACTTAATTGAATGTTAGATGTAGTATAATTGACATTAATTACTTTTATTATTTTATGTATTTTACTTGACTATTTAGTGTGTAATATGACTGTAACATGAATAATGTTAAAACAAAAAGTTGAATCTGTTAACAATGTTGACTGGAAAGAAACAATGAACAAATCATTAACTATGGTGTATGGGGTGTAACAATATATCGTGTCACATTACAAAAATGCAACAATATGTATCGTGGATAGTTCACCCAAAATTAAAGATTACTGTGAGAAAAAGTTTTTGTGAAACTACTATATGTTGAATATAATGTATGGGTCCTGAATGCCAAAATGTCTTATGTTGCACGAAAATTTTTATTCTGGTGTCACTAGGGTTGGGTATCGAGAATCGAGTATCGATTGGAACCGGGACTAACTTTTCGTTTTTCCCGGAATCGTTCAAAAGTTAAAATTTCGATTCCTAGTTTCGATATTCACAGTCCGCCGAGCGGAAGAAGAAACCGCTGAACAACACCAACGAAGAAGCGTCTACCGGAAGTGTTGGCATAACCACGCGAGTCGAACATGAGTACCTTACGTCGGCGATCCAAAGTGTGGCTTCACTTTTCTAAAAATAACGAAATCTCGGCAAAATGCTAAATTTGTGACAAAAGGAGTATTTTTACAGAAGGAGTATTTCCTTCAGAAAGGCCGTTGGTTAGCAAGGTTAGCTAAACTTTTTTGACCCTGCCTCTTAGAAGAATCGGAATCGAGAATCGTTAGGAACCGGAATCGAAACAAGGAATCGGAATCAGAATCGTTCAAATTCAAACGATACCCAACCCTAGGTGTCACCATTGTCCTGTGAATTAAGTTACCATCACCAAGTCCAAGCTTATTCATTTCAACACACCTCATGTAATACCAAATTTAGCATTTGAATCAACAGTTGATTCAATATGACGTGTATCAAATCATGAGGTTATAGACACCCCTGATAATCTAACATTAACAAAGATTATTAAAATTATTGCCCATCGTCAGTTCTAATGCATCAACAAATATGAAGTTTGAGACCAAATGAGACCTTATTGTAAAGTTTTACCAATGACTCTATGAAGCAGATTTCATTGAACCTATCACTGAATTCTGCCAGTGGAGCGCTGGCTTTTCGAAACATACCTTCTCTTGGTTTATGTGTAGATTTGGGCTGCTCGGTGACCAGAACGCCAGCGCAGGAGTCGGCCATCCTGGTGCACATGAAACACAGAGTGTATCGGCAGTCGTCCGAGCAGATGAGACAGAAGCAGTCCAGACAGAACTGACAGCACACGTTACAGCAGCGGTCCACACAGGGCTCGTCCATGTGACAGACACAAAGACAGTCGTCCCCACAGCTTTCCCTGCACTGGGGGCAAGGGCCAGACATCACACAGCAGCTCAGTCCCATGTTTCCCATCCCTTCACTTAAACAACAATCTGCTGCTCACCCCAGATATGAATCCCAAAAATATGTCGTGATGAGTGAGTTTACGTCATTAGGAGGATTGCGTGAAAACGCCAATTTTCCTGCTCATTTTAAACATTCCACGTGCTGAAGAAAGGCACGACAGGCTGTGTTTGTTAGCAGTGAACTAAAAGCCTCAGGGTGGCCCGGACTGCCCCTCCTTCTGTGCGTAGTCAATTATTAGACAGGGTCCTGTGATTAGCAGCCCAACAGAGAACAGTGTTAGGTCTGTCTTCCCTCAGGATGACTGTGAATGAATGGGCTTGCAGAAGAGTCGTTTGGGAATTCTGTGTTCTCGCATAAAATGCGCGTGAATAAATTCACTAAATGTCATAAATGTTATTATGCTACTTTTAGCAAAAGTATAGTATAATAACCCGCAGAAGACGTCACATTTGAACCAATCTATATGGCTCGCTTTATCTTATCACAAGCAAGGGTGAGATAATGACGACTAAGGGGACATTTGTTCACATTAAGCACAGAACATGTCAGGGAAATGGCAGCCCGATCTCATGAAAGTTCGTGTCTATGGCACGAATGTCATTTCTCGTGGCATTTATACGCCAAAAACAGTTTTTGCGTGTATTTGGCACGCGATTTTCGCGTACATATGATACGCACTTTTTTGCGTATAATACGCACGAACTCCCCACCCCCCTCCCCCCTAAACCTAACCCAGGGTTTTTTAGTGCGTACCATATACACGAAAAAAACACTTTTGGCGTATAAATGCCACGAGAAATGACACTCGTGGTATAGATACGCATCTTCATGAGACTGTGTTGGAAATGGAGTATGGGACGCTATAACGTCATCTAATCCCAGCTCCACATTTTTGTTGTTGTTGGTCTATTTAAACTAAGTTGACTCACTCAAAGTTGCCGTTTCAAGGTGAGGATAATTACATTTTTAGTGTGTAACAGGCTGTGAAAACAATAAAACGTGAAGAAGTAGAGTCCGCTATACCTTTTCTGTATCAGCCAAGGTTTTGTCAAAAACAACTTTCTGTTCAGTTCATTCGCTTTTGAAGTTAATAAATCTGACATTAAATGAATACGCATTCTTCACGGAGGGAAGGACATTTAAAAAAAAAAAATTCTTTAGATTATTAGGAATTTAATTGAACTGCACCATAGAGGATACTTTTAAAAGCAAATAACTACACATCTAAAAGATGATAAATCATATATCAAGGGATGGAGTAGAAGCTGATGCAACATTACAGTAAGCATTTGGCAGACACTTTAATCCAAATCGACTTATGTTGCATTCAATTTATACATTTATCAGTTCCCATGCTTTCCCATGGGAATCGGACCCTTGATGTTGCTAGAATATCACTGAGAACAGAGTCAATGCTTCTCATTAGATTCCACAATATAACTGCGCAATATCGAGACTAAAAGTACACTGTAGCATACGTTTAAAAAGAACTTATTACAGAAATAATAGACTTAAGGGTGAACTGAATGTTTTCAGAGATGTGTTATTGCTATTGAGTGAAAAGGTATTATAGTTTAATTGATATTAAATGCAATTAGTCGAGTACTTTTTTGACTCACTTAAAATAGTTTTACTATTACTCAATATAATGAAAAGCATTTATGGTAAACTGTGAGATGACATCATCAATACCGCAATTGTCCTTTCAGATAACTGTCCTATGTTTATTTTTGCTTTTTAATTGAATTGGCAATTTGGTTCAGGTACCAAACACATACACATTCGCACAGAAACACTAAAACATGAGTTTTTGTAGATAAAAACAAACACATATTTATGGTTGTGTGTTTCTGATGACTATGGTGCAGTTTATTATATAATTTTTTGATCTGGTTCATTATCTTATATAAAATTCCATTCATAATCAGTTTAAGATCTCATGTGGTTTGTGTTGATAGGTGCACATATCAACACAAACCATCTTAAAATGTCTACAGTTTCTGTTGGATGTATTTTCTTATATTTTTTTTATTTTTATTTTTTGTTGTGCATTTTGTTATTTATCATTTCAAATCTCCAATTAACAAACAAACAGTTAATTAATCTCCAAGCTGTCAACTCACCATATATCCTGGTTCTGGACTACAACTCCCCTGTTTCTGGTGTTGGATTAAACCATTTTTACTTAAAGGGGAGGGAACTTAACCATTGGGGATATAGCAATGATGTGATGTCTTATGGTGTTGTTTATATTTTGTTTTAGTTTGATATATATGTGTTTATTTTAATGATTGTTTACGCTTTAAAGGTTTCTAGTATTAATGCCCCTGCAGTTTGTACAGACTTGCATGTAATGAGAGCCTGTCCTAGGCTAATGGCACTTTTCCACCGCTGGTACGGCTCGGTATGACTCAGTACGTTTCGGCTCGGCACGGTTCGGCTCGCTTTTAGGCATTTGAGTAAAGGTGTAATTTACTCAAATGCCTTTCTTTTAGGTGTGTGTGTGTGTGTGTGTGTGTGTGTGTGTGTGTGTGTGTGTGTGTGTGTGTGTGTGTGTGTGTGATGAGAAAACGGGGGTAGTAGAAAACTTAGAAAACGGTTTTTGTTTCCATCTATCTCCATGTTGAACTGCCAGGTGTTATTACTTTGTATAGGATCCCGTTTGAGCCCTAGAGCCAACCGGAGATCTCTCTATTTGTTGAAAGCCTTCCCGATGTTGACTCTCGTCTTATTATGACACCTGGCACTAGACAGAAGTTTTATTTTCTTTGCCTTACGTGGAGTTTGCGTTGGGGTTTGGAATGAACTACAAGCCGGTCTCTTTGAATCCATCTTCTACTTTTGTCGAAAGTTGACTAAAGTTGTGTCGCTCGAGTTGTCTTCGCTGATACAGAGAATGGCGGCGAATACACAAACCTGCCAGACATAGCCAGATGAGCGTGAACGCGTATGACATCACAGCCAATCTCAAACTCCGTCCCAAATCCCTCTTATTTATTTTACTGTACAGGATTATAGAGGCAATTGCAGTGATCAGAGAAGGGTTCAGCCCATCAGGTAATTGTTTAAGCATTTATGGGTTAGAAAAATGGGTATTTTTAACATGAAATGTTGCGCAGTGCACTTTAAGCATGATTTTCTTTTTATTAAAACACTGATTTAAAATGTACTTTAAAATAAAACTTGTCATGTGACATTATTACAAAGGACACTTTTTAAAAGTGGCACTTGGGTGGGATGGCAGTGGGTTAAGAAACAATAATGAAAGTCTCTAAGTGCACAAAAGTGGGCTTTAAATTAATATTCGATTATTTGCAAGTATTTATTTTTTTTAAATATATACATTTACATTACAACAGGGGCGTAGCCAGAATTTTATTTTTGGGTGGTCCCCGTCTTTAAATGAGGGGGCAACATTATTTCTATATATATCAAGTTGATCTTTCCGTGCTTTTTTAAAAAAGTGTAATATTGTACTTTGAGTTTGAGCGCCTGCCATTGTCACGGCATATTAACTCTCACGCAAAGATGAAGATGACAGCGTACGTTACGCGCAACACGTTATATAAACAAATCAAGTTTGAAAATAAGCCGCATTTTACCGCGCAGCATTTTGATTGGTCAATCTATCAATCCTAATAAAACAACTTTTTTTTTTTTTTTTTTAAGCAATCAGAAATCTGAGGGGACCGGACATGTAAATGAGGGGGCCTAGGCCCACCCAGGCCCCCTCGTGGCTACGCCACTGCATTACAATGCACATTTAATACAATTAACCACACTTTTACAAGGGGCAGTTTTGCGTGAAACGTGAACATAATTTAACCGAATATAACTGAGATAGTGTTGTCAAAAGTACAATCAGAGACATAGGTTGAGTGCGTCAACACAATGTCCAATCACAGACATACATGTTGAACACGTGAACACAATTGAGATTGTGATGTGCTCACATTTTTGAGTGATCACCATTGTTTAGCTTCTTTGAAATTTGTAACTGCACTGAAATCAATAATGGCAAAATAAACAAAAAAAGAGAATTTGAAAATGTCACAATGCTCCTTTAAAAGCCTTAAACATATGTGAGGAATTAGGTAGGATGATCATGATGAAATCAAAGAGGTTCCCAGGCACACTGCCACAAACAGTCTTTCCCCACAGTTCACAAATCAGCAAGAACATGACAGGTGAATCACTATAAAGCCGAACTGACCTTGACTTATCCGGTAGCATATAGTCAGAGCAGTAAAAGCCTGTAGTGTGCTATTGTGGGCCCTCGGGCACCCATTAGTGAATGACATGACACATCTGTGAGATACGAGGGCATGCAGGAGATGATGGAGGCCAGCTGACAGGTCTCAGCACAACAGCCTCCCATTTGCAGTGGACTCACCTGTACAAATGCCCGTTCCTCACATTCACATGGGAATAAATCACGGCTCTGTCTCATTACCGTATTCATGCTGTGGGGAACTAGACCCAGCCGTGACTCTAGTTTACCGGCATCTACACTTGGCAGCGGCCAAGGGGCGTATCTCTGATTTCATGACTACATACATCAGTGCATGTTGAAGAAAGCACAATATGTCAACCCTATTGGTTATACCCAGCAAATATAACAGGGCATTCATTGCAATTTCAGTCAGGGCCCTATAAGCTAAGCATAACTTTTGGATGTAAACTATATTGCATTTTGAAGTCAGGCAAGCTCTGTTTAAAACCTTTGTTTTCTCTCATGGATTAACTGTTTCTGCCATTGGTAGCTGTCAAATGCTTTAGATAAAGTTGTCTGCTTAAGTAATACATCTAAATGGTTCAGTGATCAGATCACCCTGAATGTTATAGACCCTGTAGAAAGCTTGTGATTGAAACACCCAAGATCAATGTTATTCATGATTAATTACGCTTACATCCACTATCATTTCACAGAGATAAAGTGATGTAACCAATGGAATTGCAGAAAGGGATGGTCCTTGTAAAACAGAAGAAGCAGACTTTTGCAAAAGAGTACTTACTATGGAAATAATACACTTTAAAAGAATATAGTTGAGTGCACTGTAAAAAATAAAACCGTTATTTTTACAGGAAAAAAACGGCAGCTGTTGTTGCCAGAACTTTATTGGTTTTACAGAGTTAACTTAAAAATTTACAGTAATAAACCATATTTCATTATCTGATATAATGTTAAT